ATAGGCAAACGTTAAGAAGTGACGAGTATTTGAACTTATCAAAGCGTAGAACTACATAGGATCGTACCATTTACTTGTTAACACATATACGATGGAAGGGATAAGGTACAAATACTTTGTTGTGTTCTACAGTTACAGTAGACCATATTCAGAACACATAAACTGAACAATGTCGATTTAGTGCAAAATAGATAAATAAATTACCTGTAACTCTCGCATAATGAGTTGCAAGAATTCAGGAGTATTCTCGTCCGAACTGGAACTGGCTTCAGAGCCACCACTTGGAGAATGGCAGATACAAGTTGAAACCGCAAACAAACTGAAGTACATGAAAACTTTCTCAGTCGAGAAGGTAGGATTTGACGGAATACACTGAACCAGAAAATTTCTATCAAGTATGAATTCAGTACGTATTGCCGAAATTCGAAGTGAACATCAAGACTCCGCCATTCATTACTGTCAATGACGATCTTTCTATACTTGTTGATGCTAAGTAAGAACTCCAGGAGATTATGTTGCTGATTTTATCTCATCTCATCTGTTTAGATATACTTATGGGAAAGGAGTTGCGGGCAAAGCTAAGGTAACTTTGGAGCTGCCATGGCATCGGTGGCACCCAATACCTAAACCCATTATTGTTAACGATGACGGAACAACCTCGCAGGTTGGAAATTAAATCCGCTTATGTTTCGCCATTCATGTGCATTGTATAGGTGGAAGAGGAGTCACAAATCGAAAGGACAGTGAAGTTGAACAATATGGGTGAAGCAACAGTGATTTTCACAAACGAGGAAATGAAAAAGCATAAATTAGTACAGGTCAGCTGTGAAGTGCTAAGTGTTTTGAATACCATAAAAAAAACTATGTTTATTTTTTCAGGATTTCGGAGGTGGCAGCATACGGATAATTGCAACCGTCACTGAAGATCTGACAGACATCCAGCGTAATGGAACACAACATGTAAGAAGTACATTCAATTGTTATCTCAAATGTAGAGCTCACAAATATGCGAACTCAACATTTTATCGCATCTCGTACTCGACTGTCTGCAAGTCTTGGAATAGTGTTTGCAATTATCTAGGCTTCCTGTACCCAGCCGAAAGGTTACGCTTTGTTTATCAAAGTGAATTACGGTATCCCCTCCTTTTTGAGCCTGATCAACATAGATTTATGTTATGACAATGTACTTATTTCATTTTTTGGTTTGCCCATAGCAAAACGTTCGAAATGTGAAAAACGTCGTAATAAGCATTTGAAGACCACCTGCTTGCCACAAAGCGTCGAAAGTTTTGTTATTCAATAGAAGGATTTGGGACCCAATAGACATCACCTTACCTGTTACATTCTAGAAAACGCTCCCACACACAGCAGCTTAGTATGCATCCTTTCACCGTCTTTGGTAGCTAATTCACAGATAAAATAAAGAAATCGTTGACTGGAAAAGTCAGTCTTGACTACGTAAAGAAAATTGCAAGCCTATACCACGTTAGAGCTTACCTTGTAAAGTTCTAGCAAGACGAAATAAACATTCACTGAAATGCAAAACTCTGGATCATAATCTGTCAACAATCTTGCACCTTATCTCTTTTCACATTATCCTTACTTAGATCTCGACGCATCGGTATGACGTGAAATTAGACATCGAGAAACAAGGTGACACCTTCAAACCCGGTCTTACTTACA